AATGATCCATTGATGAGGGAGGAGAAAGTCCTCATATAATTGAAGGGAAGAGAAATAGCCAAGATGAACTGAGATACAAATGAAATTTGCCTTCTTTGATAGGCTCTCTGAAGTCTGGTCCAAAATCCTGGTTGGAATTTCTATAGGAAAGAGGACTGCAAGCGTCTGCCACACCTTGACACCATCATTCTTAAGGGAACACAATTAGTTCGGAAAAGGTACATACATTGGAGTAAATTCCAGGAGATAACTGGATAACACGGTGAAACCCTTCATTGTTTATGAACAGATTCTGTGAACATTTAAGAGTCTATACCAACACAGTCAAGTGGAGGGAGCAGCTGTCTTGAGATCACACTGTAGTTCCCGTAGTGCTCCAGACATCTGCAGAAAATAGTAATGTTTGTCTTTAAAACCTAACACTCCCCAGTCAGGCTGATGAAATTGGCCTTTTGCTGATTAATAATTGAGATTTGGAAAAGAAGGTAAAGAGGATAAGAGGAACCAGCAGATGGCCTGTGTTTAGGCTTTTATCCTGCACAGTCAGATGAGCACCCCAGGTCTACAGGACAGCTGAGCGAGAGCCCTACAGCTCTGGTGAGCTGCCTGTCCTCCGTCAGAGGGGCTGTGGAGACCTGAGGTTGGGTCCTAGTCAGTATGCAGACTGCATGTGAGGGCTCTGGAAGAAGGATGTACAGAAGGGAACTAAGAAACACTCAAGTCTGCAGCGGGGTCTGCACTTGCCTGGCTGCTGACATGATTTGATTAGGTCGATGGGACCACTGGGCTCCTCCTCAACAGGCTTTCAAAATTACCTCCAACGAACTCAAGTGGACTTCAACATAGAAGGGAAAATAGACACTTTTGGTTGACACTGTTGCCTTCTATTTGGTCTTAAACACCTGGAAGAGCAACATAATCTAAGACAATCAAACTATAATGATAGTAGAAGGAAAGTAAAAATCCAAGACAATTTTGGAAACTTCGGAATGTGACTTGGATTCACAAATTTTGTCTGACTCCTTTCTGTGCATGCCTCTGTGCTCCAAATCCTTGTTAGGGAAAGATCTGTGAAGATAAGTGTAAGACCTCAAGGCAACACATGAGGCCATAGAAGATATCCATCCAGTAGTACCTAACCCACACACACTATTGTTGTTCCCCTTTCAGATCAGTTTAGACCTTGGGTCTTTGCCTTTTTCGGTGCATCCTGGATTTTGAATACCAGTATCTTTTGTCTTTGAATGGTGGGATGCCCCGAATAATCAAAAGCAGTGATTATAAAGGGCAGCACTCCTCCAAGGGTTTCAAATTTTTTCCACAATATTTGGGGAGGTCCTGGTAAAGGACCTCAAACATTTAGTTGTGAAAAAAAGAACCCTGTTTCAACATGTGGATGGCACTGTCATAGCCAGTAACACCCAAGAAGAGGTGGACCAAAAATCCAACAACAGTAGTGATTTAGCTGAAAGGCATTAGAATGTGTCCAAAGAGAAAGTCTAATTTTCCTACTCTGAAAATGTCAGAGCAGCAATAAATCAGCCTCTCTAAGATTTGGAATCCAGACCCTGGAAAACAACAACTTATGGAAAAAAAGATGGAGAAAGGTGGATTCTTGATGGGAAAACTGAGGCCTAATGAGAAACAGAAGAGGCAGAATGCAACACAGAAAACTGGAGGGGCAGTCTGCACATTTGTCTCAGTTTTTGGCTCATGCCTTGGGAGGAAGGAAGATAGAATTTGCAGAGACAGTGAAAATGAGTGACTCCTATGGCCTTCATGGAGAAATGCAAAGATTTTCTGAACAAAAACCTACTTGCACAAGAAATAACACAACGAATTAACAAATGGAATCACAAATTAAAAAGCTTCTGCACAGCAAAGAAAACCATCAACAGAGTGAAGAGACAACCTACAGAATGGGAAAAAATTTCACCAGGTACTCCTCAATCTCTATAATTAACAAAGAACTCAATAAAATCAGATGCCTCAAAGTTAGAGACCCAATTTAAAAATGGACATGAAATGAGTAGACCCTTCTCACAATGAAGAAATAGAAACAGACAATGAGTGCACGATAAAATACTCAACATCTCCAACTGTTTGAGAAAATCAAATTAAAACAACACTGTGATTTCATCTCACTCCAGGAAGAATGGCTGTCATCAAGGAATAAATCAATAAACAATGAAGGCTGGTGGGGCTGTGGGGAGAAAGAAACCCTTCTCTATTGTTGGAGTCACTGTAAACTGATACAGCCACTGTGGGTATTACTATGGCGATTCCTCTAAAACTAAAAATAAAACTTCCATTTGACCCAGCTAGTCTCCTTCTAGGTATCTTCCCCAAAGAGTTAAGGACCTCAGACCACGATGATGTATGCATGCTCATGTTTATAGCAGTGTAATTCATAACAGCTACGGAAAATAGGACATATGTCCTTCAACAGATGAATAGGTAAAGAAAATGTGATATTTGTACACCGTGAAGTACTGCGCTGCCATAATGAAGAATAAACTGGGGTCATTTGTAGAAATATAGATGCACCTTGAGACCATAGCCCTAAATGTTGTTAAGTAACATATCGTATTGCTTCTCTTATATAAAAAAAAGATAATAGGAAAAGAGAGAGGAAAAAATATTGTGATCCAGCATAGACAGTGTATCCAAAAGTATGCCTTGAATTAATACAATTTTCTTACATATTTTATGTGTTCCTGGGCTTATTAGTCTGGTTTTTAATCTGTATACAACATAATGAACTTTTAAAGGTCTTATAAAATAAGTAAATGACTGTGATGCTGGAAAAATAAAAAGGGGGCAGAGGGAAGGGAAAAAAAGAATTGAAATTGTGTCATGTATATGTACCAATTCCCTACAGAGAATGTAATTATTATATACCACAAATGTGCTCTAATGAAAGTCAGAGAGAAAAAGGAAGGATGATGGTGTGATCTCTTCCTTTTCCGAATGTATCCTTTTATTTCTTTCTCTCCCCTGATCGCTCTGGCTAACATTTGGAGTACTACGTTGGACAGCAGTGGTGACATCCAAGAGGGCACCCTTTTCTTGTTCTCGATTCTAGAGGAAAAGCTTTCAGCTTTTCTCACTTGATGTGATATTAGTAGTAGGTTTACTATAAATCACCTTCATCAAGCTAGTGTCCTTCTCTACCTTTTCCTTCAGGGTGGATGTTGCATTTTGTCAAAGGCTTTTTCTACAGCTATTGACAGGATCATGTGATTTTTGTTCCTGCTCCTGTTTACATGGTGTATTGCATTTATTGATTTGTGTATGTTGAACTGTGCTTGCATCCCTTGGTCATGATGTATGATCTTTTTGATGATTTCTTGTACACCATTCGCCATTGTTTTGTAACATAGATTCCTGTATGCTGTACTGGCATTGTTGTTTGATTCTGGGAATTGTTTAATTTCCTTCTTGATTTCTTCCATGATTCACTGACGGTGAAGGCATGTGTTAGTTAATATCCATGTTTTTATAAGATTTCTGCATTTCTTTTGTTTCTAGCTTCAGCGTGCTATGATGTGATAGTATAAATGGCATGATTCTGATTCTTTTGCATTTATTCAAGCCAGCATCATGGGATAGTATGTGGGGTAGTATGCGGTCTATTTTGGAAAAAGTTTTGCGCAGTGCTGAGAAGAAAGCATATTCTGCTGCAGTATGGCAGAACAAGTAGATACCTACTAAGTGCATTCATTTAAAAGTATGGTTCAGCTCTGATATTTCTTTGTTTTTTATTTCTCTGATGTACTTGTGAAAGTGGGGTACTGAGGACTCCCACCCTGGTTGTGTTCTTGTTTATTTGATCTTATATGTCTAGTAGTCTTTGTTGCGTTGAGTGTATATTTACAATTGTTATCTTTTCATGTTTGATTGTCCTCTTAACTAATGCATAGTGACTTTCTTTGTCTCTTGTGATAAGTTTTAGTTGAAACCCATCCTGTCTTAGCATAAGACTACTACTACCCTTACTTGCTTTCAGCGTCCCGGGAATCTGGCCACTGCAGCACGGTCTTTTTATCCTAGGCTGTTAGAACAATTCCCAAGATCTGTGTCAATCACTTTCCTGTTGTTACCACAAAATACCCAACACCCACAGCTAGCAGAAGTTTATTTTGGTTCACAGTTTTCAGAGGGCAGAAATGGTGTGGTGGAAGAAAGCTGCTTACATCCTGGAAGTCAGGAAGCAGAGAGAGAAAGCAGGAGCAGAGGACAAAAACACCTCCTTCCAGACTCTAACCCTGTGACAAACATTTTTTGGCAAGGCCCCACCTTTTAACAGTACATTGAATCCTCATGTTCCAATCACCTTCCCATCTCTGAACACATGAGAGTTGGGGACATTTCAGATGTAAACCATAGTGAATATCATCAAATACTTTTTTCTATATCTGTTGCAATGACTTTTTTTACTCATTTTTCGAAATATTAGTCAACCTACATTATTAGAATAAATCCATGTTGGTCATATTATTCTTTCTTTGTACTTTTAATTTAATTTTCTCTTATTTTTATGATTGAAATTTACCTGCTTTAATAACACAAAAATGGTGGGGTTTCAGATTCCTGTGTTCACCAGGAAATCACTGTCTTTGCGCTGAGCAGTGTCTGGACTGTATGTAAATGATAAAGTTTGACTTAGGCACCTTGCATTCAGCAACTGAGGAGAAAATCTGAAGACGTAAATGTTAGAAAAGAGGCAGAAATTTAATCACAAATTTTTTAGCCCTTTTATGCGATTCAAGAGTTGCATTTTTCTTCCATTGCAAAATATAACCCAAAACAAAACGATTGACTACATTTCTCTGTCTGGATCTTCGCTCATTAGAACACTTTCAGCCTTCACTGGGTTGGCCTTCTTCTCACAAGCAAGGAGGTGTCTTTCAGTGCAAGGAACGTAAAAAATGTTTGTTGCATATATATACCCACAAAACATCTTATTTATGTCATTCATGTATCTTTTAAGCCTGGAAGAGAAAAATATTACATTGTGAGATACAGACATTTGAAACATATTTCACTACATATGATTGCCTCTAGAGCTTGCACTAAGGAGACATTGAATTTGTGTTCAGAGTGAACTTTGTGTCCAAGTGAACTTTGAAAATGTGTCGTATTAATTGAAACATGTGTCATGGGAAGCACTGCTTTACCTCCCCTTCTGTCCTACTTTCCCACATCTGGAATATTTGCTGTCATCTAATTCCAAATACTGAACCCACCTCCATATCTCACATGATTTAAAATAATGTCCTTTCATAAATTCTCTACTCGGTACCAAATTTATTTCCTCAAGTATCTTCCACAATCACCCTAACTAAAGATTAACCTATGAATCTTAAGTTCAGTATCAATCCATTCCAGAATAAATTGCCTTTGCATTTGCAATAATTACAAGCCCATGTATATTCTGCCTTTTCAAAACAAGAATTCCACTCTCCGGTTGCACACGTTCTCGTTCCCTCTACTCCTTCACCTAAGTGCAACCTTTACGCTCTACAATCTTCTCTTCTTTTGTACACGCCTCATTTCCCATTCTGTCTTCCCATAGCCATTTACCAAACACAGAGCCATCTTGTCTTTATGACCCACACTCCTGCAACTACGATTGCTGTCTGAAGGACAGAAAACAAACAGAAACTTGCATTTGTCCTATGGCCTGCAGTGGAGTATGCAGAAATCTCAGCTTCAGTTCAGCATGGTTGCACCCCAACAGCACTGCCCTCACCTGCCTGCCTGGTAGAGGCGCCCTCAGCTAACTGATGTGATAAATATTGAGCTTCTAAGAGTCGCCAGCAGGTGGGGCTTCTGGGATCTTTCTTTAATGATGTCTATTTTACAAATTCTAGGAATTATAAAATAAAAGGGGAATTTTAACCCTTTTTGCATATAAGCCTTGACTTTTCCCATTACAAGCAGAACAGATGCAATGCATAAATTCATTCATATTAGTATAATGATAGTCACCTTATTAAATAGATCACACAGCACATTGTTTAATATATTTATGTACATCAAATAAACAATATACTCTGCTGAAGCATATATTATTCTTTATACTGAAATATCCTTCTCATTCATCTATGAACATTTAAGTTAAAAAAGTTTTATTTCAGGTGTCAATAATAACTGAAGTTTCAAAGCAAAACTCAGTTTTGGTTATTCTGTGTATTCTGGCTTAAGCATTTATCACACTCGTTTCCTTTCACCCCCAGAATAATCTGATCAATCTTCACGTCATTGATTCTTAAGTAAATTTAAGAATGATTTTTTTCATTTATCTTCAAATCCTAGAATTTAGCCCAATATTATATTCTTCTTATAACCCAGTGACTTTGTTGACTTTTATAATTTTCTTAATACAGGCATTATTTCTAAAAAGACCTCTTAATTTTAGAGGCTACTCAAGGCTCATTAGTGATTATCAGAATAATGATATTTGTGACAACTTTCTGTGTGGGAAAGGCTTGTGTCAGAGGAGTGCAAACGATATAATCCCAGGTACTTATTCTAATTTTGATCTATACTGCTCCTGAGGAAAACAACCCTACTTACATCCAACTATAAACATTCAACAAGCATTCAGACTCACCTGGCAGAGGAGATGATGTTCTCACCTGAGTTTTTGTCATCTTGTCTCGGAGATAATCCCAGCCAGTAGTAATATAATTTCTGGGATTTTACAAATTCCTAAAGTGAATAGAAACGGTTTGCTTAAAAAAAAACTTTCTCCCATTTTTGTGCATTACCTTATTTTCAGTTTCTTATAAATTACTGAAGATAACATTTTTGACATTAGACTACTGCTTTTCAATGTTATTTAAAAGAAATTGAAAGCATTTCTTACTGTAAGATTTCATGTTTTACAGTTTCAGTTCCTGTTTCACTAGGACAAAGGAATGCAAAGTTCATAAGCTTCTGGGTTCAAATATCTGACCAATAAATACTTAATCCAGAGACAAAGGAGGGAGTTAATGACTGTAAACAAGAGTTAATAGAGAAGGAAGACAATTTGGTTATATAATAAAATTCAGGACTGATCCAGAATTTTATAGCCAAAGTACCAGATATTTTGCTTTGATTCCAGGCTTTAAAATTTTTCATTTTTGAGTGAATAACTATGATTGAATAATTTAAAAATGACCTAAGAGAAAGACATTATAGATTGATTTCTCTCTCTTCTATAAAGGATAAAAAATTTCTTACAATAGGGAAGCTGAGACTTTTAGAAAATATAATTTTGCTTAAAAATAAGATTGCTACTACTGGAAAGACCAGAAATGCTAAATAATAATTGAAATATGAACAAGTTATTTCACTTGAAAAGAAAGAAGAAAATTTAAAAAATAATACTATCAGAGATTTCATTTTTCTTCATATCTGTGTGGAATTTGCCAAGTGAAAAGATCCTCCTTTGTAGTTTTGATGGAATTAGTAATCTTCGGAATAATCTCCAGATTCTATGTTTGTAGAAAATATTCACAAATCATATTCTGAGACTTGATTTCAGAATTCCAACTTGGACATGTGCACAGACTTGAAGATTCTGGGCACCCTTTATTTACCTGTGAGCTTCCAAAACACCCCTAAGCGAAGGTCCTAAGCTAAGGTTTTATGTGGTTTCCCTTGGCTGTGATTCCCTGAGATAAATGTGTAAAGTCTCTTCTCTTTTCTCACCAAAATAAGATAGAACCACGAGTGTGTGTGTCCTGGCCAATAAGCTCACCTCCAGTCTACTGTGTAATGAGGAAAAACAATTTCTTTCCTCACAGAGAGAGGTGTAAAGCCTTACCAGTGTGCTCTTCTCCTTGATCTGCAGCAAGCTGGCATTCTGAGAAGAGCAGGACGTTGCACTGTCTTGCCATGTCTGACGTGTTTCAGAAAACAAATAACAGTTATTCTTGTACCATAGCCAGTGGTTTGGACAAGGTTTACACTTGTGCCCTGCAACAAGAACACAATTTTATTTGGTTCTGTGAATAGACTTCATTGTTGTTATTATTTCCTTTCATCTCTATATCACAATGTACAAATTTACTTTTTTTTTTTGCAAAAGCAAAGAAAATGAGTCCTGTATTTGAGGTCTTTATACATCACCACAAAGTATATGACACATAACTTTGAACCAAAAAATTCACATTAAACACTTCAGTTTAAGTGTATGTTCCTGTATCGGGATACCTGGTAAATATTCCTTTTTCATTTTTAAATTTATGTATTGCAAGAAAAACTAATCTCAGGAAGCACTCTGTGTGGTAAGAATGAAGCCCACATATCTGCATCCATCCTGCCTCTTCCAATTTGAAGACCAGAGCAGCTTCCTGGGAGCCTTAGAAGCATTTGAGCCACAAAACCTGCTGAAATCCACAGAGATATTGCAAGACCAGTTCCCCCATTCCAAGTGTAAAACTGATAGTTTATTTCTTTCCTACTGCCTTTTAGCCATCAATCGTTGACTGAATTTAAAAACAAGATAATCTATAAGAGACATCCCTCACTATCATTAATTTACCCCAGTGCCTAGAACAGTAGTAAATTGCAGAGGAGAAAAACTCTCTGCTTTATTCTCATCCCCTGATAATCATGTGACTTGCAGCTGTTCTTACTTTTCTATCTTCCTCCTAACTGCATGGAAACGTGAGTGACTACTCCACCATCCGTATTTAATTCCTTCCTCCAAATACTGTAATAACTCCGTATTGAGAGGATGCTAGCAAATGATGGTTATTCTTTAATTACTCTTTGTCTAGTAAGTAACTCTGAAAACAGTACAGGATTACCTGGTTCTTTTCTATTCAGCTCACGACATAACTTGGTGGCCAAATTTTGCACAGTGATAGAGAGATTTCTTATATTTTCAGACTTATTTAAATTAGTCATCAATAGGAGGGAAATGTTTCCCTGAAGTTCTTCTTTGACATTTTGCAGTGTATTCAATCTTTCTGTTTCTCTCTTCAAAGTGGTATAAACTCCAGATGAAACAGAGAGACAGAGAGAGAGAGAGAGAGAAATTGTAAACCCTCAATTGAATTAGAACCATGAAAAATATTGCAGAAGTAGTATTTAAAAGACTAAAGGGTTAGGAAATTTTCCTCTACAGGAGTATGGAAAGTCTGTTTACATGCTGCTTTTTAGATCTTGATTATTATTATTATTACAAAGCTCCAATCAAAGAATAAACTTTGGCTATGAAACCCACAAAATTCTAGACACTTTTAATCATAAGATGGGTAATACATACATATGCTTCCTAGGGGTCCTAGTCCAATGAGCAGCAAAAGACATAAAAAAGTCAGGGTCAAGGCTATTTGACGCCATACATGGGAAGAAACAGGAGGCGCTGTGGAAGGCAAAATCAGCAGAGAGCTTTAGAAATGGAACACAACTTAATTTCATTCATCCATTCTGTCTTTATTTATGTCCTAATACTACTTTCTGAATGAACCCAATTTGCTAGAGATTCAAAGACATTTTTAAAAACACAGTAGATTAAGTCAAGAATGAGTGTGAGAAAGTTAGTTTTGCAGGGAATGTTAACTAGCGGAGTGATTGCAGAAATGAAAAGGCAAAGAGAAAGTGTACAAAAGACAGCTAAGAAAACCCACAGCTAAGGCAAATGAATAGAAAACAGAGATGTTAATCTAAGGAGCCTTTCCTCGAGTGAGTTGGGGTTTGTGAAAGAAAGCAGCTTCAGGGTTTATGTGCTCCCCAAGCAGTGCAGGGAGCTCGGCTGTCTATTCTTAACTTGCTGATTCTTTATCAGCACCTCTATGCCAGTTACTCATTAGAATTTTTCATGGCTTTAGCAAGAGTTTTTATTGAATGCTTCCTCTTTTTTTTTGACTGAACAGTAAAGCCCAGAATACACCTTTTTCCTATAACAATTGTGAAATGGATATTATGAATTATTATCAAGTCATCACATGACTTAAATTATCATCATGTGATAGCACATGTGAAAAACATATGAAGAAAATACAATCTGAGAATAAAATGATAATCTTACTATGCTTCTGAACTCTGTCATACCTCTCAGTAGGTGGGACAACATTGTGAAATCCAGAAAGAATTGAAATGAGAATTTTTCTTTAGATCTTAGAAAACCTTTATTAGTGAAAAAGCAAGATCTTTTCTAAGGTAAAAGTACAAATTTGAGAGCTATCTTTTCTAAGTATTATTTTTTTCATTTATGTGCATATTCAATCATTTGAATTTATACTAGAACTACTGTGGATGCTAATAATGCAGAGTAGAGAGACTGTTCTCATGGAGATACATTTTATAGTGAGAGGAAACAAAGGAAGAGATAGATTCTTTTCAATTTGGACTAGCGGGTGCAGAAACTTGAAACCGTTATAGAAAGTAGGTAGTTTAGCTTTTAGGAACAATGAAAAGTAGCATGAAAACTAAGTGGGGACAACATTACAGGCTGCAAGATTTGATGACTGTAATCCGATGGAAAAGCTTTTTTATTCCAGAAACGGAATAAATTCAGAGTGGCTACAGAGCTGTGGCTGGTGTGAGAAATGACTTTGAGGGTGTCAGGGCCTGAAATGAGAAATCCATGTGGTAATGGGACGAAGGCTTTGCCTTTCACAAGGAGACAGATCACATGAAGGCACTTGGCTGTTACTGATTTTGGGGTTAAATGACTCAACAGGACAACTTATAGGAATATACTGAGTGGTACAAGAAAAGGAAAACCAGAGTGCAGCCCTGGTGTGTCCAATCAAATAGAGCTCGATACAGAAGGAAGAGTAAAAACAAGAACAAAAACAAACCCCAGACCAAGCCAAAAACAGCCCCCACCCCCCACAGAGCAGCCAGGAGGACAGCAGAACCCATGGGGATGTGTCCAGGAGGATTTGCAAAGGAAGTGTTTTCAAAGATGGGCTGTTGAGCCTTTTGAATGCTGCAGAAAAATGAAGGAATGAAAGCATAGAGATGCGGTAACTGCGACGAAACAAGGAAGACACCAGGGACCTGTATAGGAAGAGTCTCCATGGAACAGTGAGAGAAGCCTAATAAAATCAGCTGAGAAGGGAGTAAGGGGTGAAGAACTGGGAGCCAGTGACTGAAGTTAATGCTTTAAAAATCTCCCCCCACACACATACATACATAGCAGCATTTTATTATGAAAAAGATAAATAATAATAATGACAACTTTCCTAGATAACCTGTGTTTCTTGTTCTGTGTCTTCTTTTCATCCAGGAAAAAGACTTTACAACCCAGTCTTTTGAAAAGTAGGGACAAGGGAAAAAAAAATGAGAACCAAGACCTGTCATGTAAGGGTACAACATCCCAGTAATGAATGTAACTACACTGGATACCTAGAATGTACCAATAAACTCAATAAAAAGGAAAAAAAAAAAGAAAATGCTATTCTGCCTCATGTATCTGGAGTATGAAATTAAAACTAGAAAAACTTTAAAAGATGGAGAATATTTAATGAACTGGTTAGTGTTTTTAAAAAAAATACCCTTGTAATCATTTTGTATGAATGCTTTGCAAATTTTTGCTAAAAATCAGAGGCTTAATGAAAATTCAAATTGAATGATACCAATATAATTATTAAGTGACCAGTATCTACAACACATCTATAGCTCAAAAGCTTACCTTTTATCTCGAATCTGTCAAGCTCCTGGATATTTTCTGTCTTTCTGGATTCTGGGAATTTTAGATGTGCATAAATAACTTCTTCAGACATCGGCGAGTATGTTTGTTTGCCTGTCTGCCTTTAAATGTAAAAGAGAGCTAACTGTTGCATGTTAAACAGGATCTGTAGGTTTGAACTTCTTTTTACAACCTCCTGTCCCCTCTCGCGTGTGTCTACCCACAAGCTCTTGCCCATATGTGGTGACAGAGCAGAGAGCTGTCGCAAGAGGAAACATCTTTCTTCCTCATATCTCTCCCTTTTCCTCATTTCTATATCTCTACCAACTACGTAAAATAGTCTTCTAAACGATGTTTCAAAAATATTATTGCTACTAAGAAAAAATATTATTACTACAAATCCTTAGCAAATACAACACCAGATTTATTTTCAAGCAGTAATAATAATAAAGGGGAAAATGTAGTTCTCAAGACAGTAATCCACAGCAGTGGCCTATGTTCTGTGGGTATCGTGGCCAAGGCCCTGCCAGAAGGGCTGTGTCAGCCAGGAGAGAAGCACATACACAGAGGACTCCAGAGAGAATGAGATAATGAGGGACCCAGAAGCACCTAGATTCTCTCAGCGTCAAAAATCTATCCAGGGATCTGTGGCCGCAGGACCACACCAAGAGTTTGCATGTTTGTGGCAAAGGTCCATGAATGAAGATTCTGTGAATAGTTTTCCAAGGCAGGAAAACAAGGATGAGCTTTTCTGTCTCTCTATGAACTGGCTCAAGCCACTTAGCTAAGCTAGCAGAAAGCGGAAGGGCAGGAGGCCCCAAGATCAAACAGATTTGTGTCTTCTCAGCTTGACTCAGCGTTCCTAGCATTCACCACCTCATTTCCTGATCCATACGGAAGAGAAAGAATGAGGTGGACAATGACGTCTTCTGAGCAAGTCTTATCTTAATTTCCATCAGTAATCTTCCTATGAAATTCCTAGTGATACAACTGCATGTGAATAATATAAAATGGATGGATATTTTTACTATTTTTCTAAAAGAGTATATATAAAAATTTTTTAATTCAGTTAAAAGGTTATTCTTGTTATGATAGGTACTAAAAGTAAAAATACCCCCCACCATAGCTACTAAAAGTAAGTAGAAAAAAATCACTAGTTCAAATTAACTAGATATTTGCACAACCAAAATGAAAAAAAAATTACAACTATTAAAAATAATAAAAGTTAAATAGTCAAATACTTTGGGATTGAGCATTACTAAATTTATGAAGCTATTTAATGTCAATTTAATTAAGACATTAACAAGTTCTCCCTGATATGAGTCTACTATACAGTATAACTAAACAGAATTAGAAGAGAGGATTTTGAATATTTTTACTATAAGGAAATGAAACACACTTGAGAGGAAGGAAAAGCTAAATATCCTGAGGTGATCATTCCACAATGTATAAATGCCCTAAAGTATCACATTGTAGCCCATAAAGATGTACACTTATTAATTATTATTTGTCAATTAATAAAGCAAAAGCAAAATAGGTTATCAACATTCATCTGAAAATATTGTCAGCAAAAGTTACAAAAAAGGATATTCAGTGCATAAGACCACTATTTCATCTCACCAATAGTCACTACTTTACAGGTGAGGAAGTAAACTGTGAGGTGACTAAGATCTAACCCAACAGCATGGAGTGGCGGAGGTGAAAACTTGGCCACAGAATCCTGGCTACTTATTTCAGATGCATCTCCACAGGTGGCAGCACCAGTGGGATGAGAACACAACCTCTCTGTTCCTCTCAGGTGGATCGATATTTGCTTATAAAGAATAAAATCATTCACATTTCGGAAGAAAACTTACCAGTGCAGGTATACTTAGTATTATTATCTTTGACTACAAAAGGTATTTCTAAACAAGACAAAAAGTGATTGAAGATTGACGTAAAAATGAAGCTTATTTATATGGCAAAAATAAAATATAATAAAAAATACAGAAAATTTAAAAGATCCTTAAAACAAGCAGCAATTAGTTCTGGGAAATGAATAGAGTATCCAACAGAGCTAATCTCTTTTACTCTCTCCATTGACTCTCATCTATCCAGGTGAAAATATACATGGTATAATGCAATTCTTTTACATTTACTTAAGGCTGACTTATTAGCTAGTATATGGTCTATTTTGGGGAAAGGTTCATGTGCTGCTAAAAACAACGTGTATTTTATCATTATTGAGTGAAGTATTCTTTAGATATCTGTTAAATTTATTTGTTGAAAGATTTTGTTCAATAAACAAAATCCTATAAGTTCCATATCACTGTAAGTTAGCACCAATTCAGTCCACTTCCAAATGAACCTAAAATATTAGTTACTACCACTGCAATTCATAAGATAGTAGGCTTGTGCAGTGTAAAGTTTAAAAATCTAATTAGCAAAGCTTGTTGTTGGTGTCTTTCCACACAGAGCTGCTCATAAGCTCTAACCAAATTATAGTTTTCTTTTCTCTTCACTTGTTTCATGTTTCTCTTATCTTCCTATAGCCATCTTCTTTACTGATTTAATACGTGTAATTTGATGCCAAAGTTAATGTGATCCACATAGCCATTCTCACAGAACTGAGCCTTTGGTAGTCTTGTTTGTGTATTGTCTTCAAAGGGGAGCACGGAACTCAATTGCTCCTTGGAATCCACATATAACTTTCTAACATATAACTTGGGATCCACATGACCCTTTGTGGAACCACAACACAAGTTACACTTAGCATTTGAATCCTTTCCTTCAAACAATACTACTGGTTGTTCCAGGGGTCTGTCTCAGTTTTCTATTTAACAGAACCCGGACTACGTTCTCCGGTTACAAACATCACATTCTGTAACACTTGGATCTCCTCCATGCCATACACAGGGCAGCAACTTCTGCTTTCATACATCAGTTCCCCAAACAACAGCGTTTTGGATACAGTCGATTGAACTACTATTTTGACAGCTGTCTGAAAACATCTTCTTTAGGCTGTAAGAGGGCACTCCAATGTTCTCAAGTGCTGTCTTCCAGAATGGTGATATGCAACAAATATAAGGGAATATTTTAATTTGAAACCATACAAAGTATAAATAAATAGAAAGGGGAAACATGCTTATAGTGGAGAAGCCAAAATAGGAAAACAAATGGCTTGCAGACAAAAATTCTGCTAGTACAAATCATTAATCAATTAGCAAGGTCATACATTTTTAGATAAATACCAGCTGAAAGTAGCTTATATTCATGAAAGGAAGTTCTAAGACAAAGTTAAGCAAAACATTATAAAGAATATTGTGTCTATGAATATAACAAGTAATTAGAGTACACATTAAAATAATACTGAGCATTAATATAAGCTATACAATGGTATCTGCTCACAGTAATTTCGACTAGACTGCATATTTTCTGCACCAATCTGGATTAAGTAAGATACTGTCAGAGTGATAAGCTCTCAAAAAGGACTGTTTCCAACATGATATAGTAGAAAACGTGCCAAAATAATCCATGAGGGGAAAAAATTAAGAGTATCAATTCTTATGTTTCAAATTACTTCCGAGCTTGGTTCCATTTTTCAAAGAGAAGTACTTTATCTGAAATAGACATGTAGACACAGGTCTTACCTAAGAGGCACACAAGTACCTTTTTTAGCAGTACTGAGAACTAAATCCAGAGTCTTCACACGAACCTACATCCCCTAACCATTTTATTTTCTTATGTTTGAGACAGGGTCTCACCAAGTCAGTAGGCTCCCCAGGCTGAGCCCAAACTTGTGATCCACCTGCTTCAGAGTGCTGGGATTATGGGTGAGGACCACCACGCCTGCCTGTACACATCCTTTTGATAAACACAATTATGAATTACTTGCCCAGAATACCTGCAGTCCCAAAGGAAAGATTCCTCATCAGAGCAGGAGATAGCATCATATGGGACCAAACGGGACATCCAGTGAAAGGAAACTCTTTCCCACAACCCAACTGCTTGGCCCCACTGTGCTTGGGCTCTCAACTCTGTTCTCCCAACAGAGCAGTTGCTTTCATCCACGAGTCTTAGTTCTCAGTCTGAGGCATCTAAAAGAGAGTTAAGAAAATAAGGCAGCCAAAGTATAGGTCAAAACTCACACTCTAGAATCTTGTTCCAATGTATATTTTGACATCAGAGCATAAAAAGTGGAGGCAAGAACAAAACTGTAAAAACTTTGTATGTGATTTTTGTTGTTATCGTCTTAAAACAGGCCCACGACTATAGTACATGTTATCTAACCCTCATGGTAATCAAAAGAAACAAGCTTGTGGTGGATACATAAAAGATAAAGAAAGATATCAAAGGTCACCATTATATCACAACACAAAACAAATGAGCAAGGCTCCAACAAGTAGTGAAATGATGATTAGCATAACAGCAGTTGGAAGTCTTTATACATATTGATAATTGCCTTAAATGTTTGCATTAACTGTAAATGGGGATATAGCTCAGTGAGGGAGCACTTGCCTAGCATGCGCAGGACCTGGGTTCCATCCACAGCACACTCCAGAAAAAGATAAACAAATTTTAAAAGACTAAGTTATCCAGTAAAATGGGTAGAGTATCTAAAAGGATTATTAAAACCCCAATCCAGCTATATGCCCTCCAGACAGGGGTCTTGGCAGGTTGCAGAGGCACAGATCATTCTGTGCCCAGACAGGGCCCACTCCGATGGCCATAGCTGGTGGATGACCAGGAGAAACTCCCTGTAAAGGGGTCCAGAGCAGTTTGGGTGCTGGGGGCTGAACCCACATTCCATGGACTTCCTGTGAGACTTTGGATCTCAGTGTCCCCTCCTGCTCTGCAGAGCTCAGTGTCCCTCCTGCCTGTCTGCCTCACCTCAGGCGCAGGTCTGTCGTGTTGTGGCTCCTCAGGCCTGTCCTGCAGAGTACAAACAGCTCTGTGGGCTGTGAGGAAGTGACCTTCACGCAGAGGGCTCTCGCGTGGCCTAGTGGGCGACAGGAGGAGGGAAGACTGGAAATCCCTCCTGCCCACACCTGAGGGGCGACCCTGTCTGGCAAAGGGTGCAGTCATGCAGTGGAGGAGTCTTGGAGAGGTGGGGACACCAGTTACAGAAGAAGTTGGGGACAGAGTCACCTGGATCCTAAATAGACTGCAGTCGAGAGGTGAACAAGGGGAGAAGGGGTAGAAGGGAAGGAAGGAGAAAGAGGGAAGGGAAGGGCAGGGCTGGAGG